ATACCCCAGCCCCACAACCTGCCCCGACCACATCGTGAGTGCTGCCCTCTGCCTGCCCCCCAACTCACCCCCAGGTCCCCAACCTGCCCCCGAACACATTGTGTGTGCTGATGCCCCCCCGGGCCTCCAATCTGCCCCGACCGTATCGTGAGGGCTGGCCCCTGACTGACCCCCTGAACTCCCCAACCTGCCCCCAACCGCAACCTGAGTGCTGCTGTCCCCTGCCCACCCCCCAGCCTGCCCCCCCCCCCCGCTGACAGGGCCCATGTCCAATCTCACGGCAGGTGTGGGCGTGGGGCGAGCGGGTGCTGGACAGTGGCTCGGAGGAGCGATTCACAGTGGACACGGCGCTGACGGAGCGGGGGGTGCTCTCGGCCCTGCTCATCCAGCCCACGCGCCCAGAGGACTTCGCCCTGCCCTACAACTGCACGGCCTGGAACCGCTTTGGGGCCCGCTCGGCGGCCGTCACGCTGCGCCGGCAGGGTAAGCCCTGCCCTGGCCCATAGCCCTGCCCACAGCCCAACTGGCCCCACCCACACGCAACCCTGGCATCACTTAGCCCCATGCTGACAGGATGGGCCCCATGGGTTCCAACCCCTGACCCAATTGCCCCACCCTCCCACACCAAACCGGCTACAACTTACCCAGATGCCCCACTCCTGAGGTGGCTGTCACCGGATGAACCGTCCCCGTGAGGCATTATGTGCGACTGTTCCCCGGCTGCCCCGCCCCAGAGGTGGCTGCATTTCAATGCCGGATGAACCGTCCCCGTGAGGCATTATGTGCGACTGTTCCCTGGCTGCCCAGCCCCAGAGGTGGCTGCATTTCAGTGCTGGGTGAGCCGTCCCTGTGAGGTGTTATGTGCGACTTTTCTCCTGCTGCCCCCACTCCCCTGAGGTGGCTGTGTCTCAGTGCCAGGCAAGCTGTCTCCATGTGGTGTTATGTGTGGCTGTTCCCCAGCTGCCCCACCCCAGAGGTGGCTGCATCTCAGCACTGGGCAAGCTGTCCGTGTGTTTTAGCAGCAGGGACCCGCTCTCATCTGCTCTTTCCCCCACAGAGGTCCTGCCCATCATGATAATCGGGGCCTCGGCCGCCGCCGCCATCACCCTGCTGCTGGTCTTGGTCGTTGGCGTGTCTGTCTGCTGCCTGCGCTGGTGCCACGGGAAAGGTGAGGTCACTGGCTAGCTCTGCCCCTCCCCACTTACAGACGTGATCACCTGCAAGGCTGAGATGGGCCTTCCCCCTTCACATGCAGACACACTTCTAACATGTGTTAATATGCCTGGGCTAATACATGGATCCACACACGCCCCGACATGGTACCACACAGACCTGTGCTTCTGTGCGTAGGGACACATGAGGACACACATGGACACGCCGGTTTAGATACAGGAACCCACGTGGGTTGGTGTTAGCAGTCTCGTGGTGACATTGATGCTCCAGAGAACATGTCTGTACAGGCATGAAACATGTGTCCCATGTAACGGTCACACAAACATACCCTCACATACGTGGGCAGCCCCTTTAACATGTGCCTAGGCCCCCGACACATGAACATATGAGTCATTCCCATGTGCACCTGGAGCCATGACGTGTCTCAGACACGTCTGCACTGATGTGGTAACCCCACTGCGTGTTTCTTTTAACACATGTGTGTGACTGGATCTGGACAGCTCGCTGGCTAAGTGTAACCTCTCCCTCCAATGGCTGGTGCAGGATAACAGCCCTCTACTGCTACCCACCGATGGAGTGACTCCTCCAGTTCCAGTGGCAGTTGCTGCATCTCAGAGCCGGGCGAGCTGTTCCCATGCAGAGGCGGCTGCATCTTAGCACCAGGGGAGTCATCCCCGTGCAGTGTTATGTACAGCTGTTACCCGGCTGCCCCACCCCAGAGGTGGGATGGGGACCACACCAATGGGGCGCACAGATTCCCCCCCCCCCCGAACCAGTGGTGGGTGGGGCCCATAGGGGAGCTAGGGACCCAGGAGAGGTTCACGCCCCTGTGTCTGTCTGTGTCCAGGAGCCAAACAAGGCACCAAGCTCTCCAAGACGGATGTCCTGGTGCAGATCACCACGAGCGACAGCAGCCCTAGCCGACCCAGCGATACAGAGGATGATGTCAAGGAGCCCATGGTGAGCGTGGCACAGTGTCCTGTACTGAGCCCCCGCAGCACGGCGCCCTCTACTAAGCCCCCCGGTGCCCACGGCACTGCGCCCCCTACTGAGCCCCCCGGTGCCCACGGCACTGCGCCCGCTACTGAGCCCCTGCAGCACGGTGCCCCCTACTGAGCCCCCCGGTCTCCACGGCACAGCGCCCCCTACTGAGCCCCCTCACCCCTGTGCCCCCTACCGAGCCCCATGGTCCCCACAGCACTGCGCCTCCCTACTGTGCCCCTGCCCCATGGCACGGCCCCCTGACAAACCTCCCACTCCCCAAAGCACAGCGCCCTCTACTGAGCCCCTGACCCTGCTCCCCACAGCCCGGCGCCCCACAATGCCATGCTGGGCTATGCATCCAGATTCAGTTGGTTCATGGGGGCCGGGGGGTGGAAGCCCCGGGATGTGGCTGCAGGGAGTGGGGGGTGGGTGACAAAGCCGGACCCCCTACCCCGAGACTCAGCCCGTCCCCCCCACCCCCACAGGCCACGAGCAGCGAGTCCCCGGCCACGTCGCACACGGAGCACAGCGAGATCCTGGAGGAGGAAGAGGGCAGCCAGGACATTAAGGTGGGAAGCCCCGCCCTGGACCCAGGCCCCGCCTCCTCTCCCCCAAGAGGCAATGCCATGGTGTCTCCGCCCCCTCTCCACAGTGGCCCCCCTACACTTCCCCTGGCCCCCTCCTGCCCCACATTGAGTGCCCTGCTGGTGTGGGGTTGGGGGTCCCCCCAGGCTAAGGGGCTGGGAATTCACATCTCATTGGGATGCAGACAGCAGCTCCCCTCTTCCCAACAGCAAGGGGCACAGGCTCTCTGCAGACTCAGGCAGCGTCGCTGTGTCAGTCGCACTTGGGGCAGTTCCCCCCCTCTGAGGGGCAGCCCCCAATCTCCCCCCCCCCCCCTGGACCTTTGCTGCCCCCCTCCTCCCCCCCCCCCCAGGACCCCACCAATGGTTACTACAAGGTCCGTGCTCACGAGGAGCCCCACCTGTCTGGCAGTTTCTCGGAGTACGCCCCGGCCCCGCGCCCCCTCTACGCCGGGTCCCACGCCGCCATGTTCCCCCCCTCAGGGCAGCCCTACAGCCACCGCTATACGCTAGGGGCACCCAGCTCCCGCACAGCCTACGAGCCCCACTACCCGCAGGATGGGGTGTACGGGGGGGGCTACCTCACTGCCCCCTACACCCGGGCTTTCACCAGCTACATCAAGCCCAGCGCTTACGAGAAGGCAGAGAACGGCTACGAACAGTCAGACCAGGCCAGCAAGGTGTCGGGCGGCTCCCGCTTCTCCTACACCTCCCTCTCGCAACAGTCGGACTACGGGCGGCCCTCCCAGCAGCGCATGCAGACACATGTGTGACTCTTCCTACCCAACACACATCAAGCCATTGGGGGACAGACACCCAGGGCCGTCCCTGTTGTGGGAGGGGGTTGGTGGAGGTTCGGTTTAGCCAACTGTCTCAAAATGGCCGACAGGCTAGCTGACTTGTGCTGCTGGAGGTGGAGATGAGTGACCATCGGCTGGGGGAAGAGGTTCAAAATGGCTGTCTCCCCAATTGACTTTTGCTCCTAGAGGCGGGGATGAGTGGCTATTGGCTGGGGGTAGGAATCAGGGCATGGGTTCAAAATAGCTGGCAAGGGGGGTTCAAAATGGTTGACGGCCCTGTTGACTTCCTCCGTTGGACGTGGGGATGGATTCGCACTGGATAGGGAAGAAGTCACAAGGTTGGATACACTAATGCCATCAAAAATGGGTTCAAGATGGCCGACGGCCCAGCTTACTTCTTCAGTTGGGCCTGGTGATGAATCCAATTGGCTGGGGAAGAAGTCCGGCTTAGCCCTGGGACGTTGAGGTGGGTTCAGAATGGCTGATGGTCCCATTCACTTCCTGAAATTGGCCGGTTGGCTTAGCCTGGGGCTGCCAAGGTGGATACAAAATGGCCACCAAGAGGGGCTCAAAATGGCCAACAGCCCAATCAGCTTCCTGCAGAGACGAGTGGAGGGAGGAGCCAGTGGATGTTGGATTTCTGAATGGCTTCCCCCACCGCCGTTGGCACTGGATCAGCCAGGCCTGGAAGCAAGATGGCGACCGCAGGACCAAGATGGCAGCTGATGCTAGGCCCCACCTGCCGGAGTTGCAGGCCCAGTAAAAATGGCAGCTCTCAGCTTCCTGTGCAGCCTGACCATGGAGCTCATGGGGGGCAGTGGACATATGCGTGAATCCCCCTGATGGCAGCACCCTCCCACGCACCACCAATGGGGGGGCTGGGTCTGCTGCGCTCTGCCCACCCCCACCTCCTGCTGTGGTGGGACTGGTAGGGGCCCCACAGATCAATGGGGCTGGGAGCTAACAGCCCATGGGGATACTAAGGGCAGTTTCCTCCTCTCAGAGCGTGCAACCTCAGGCATGCCCCAGGGCAGCGGCCTGGTTGGCTTGGGGGGGGGGGGAGGGAATAGGGCACAAGACCTCTCCCCGCCAAGGGGCACCAACTCTAATTCCCCATTGCAAGACCACGGGGGCAAGATGTTGATGTTATAGATGTGCCCTGGCCACAGCCTCTGGCAGTAATCAGAGCTGGGCCAAATCGATCCAGGTGGGGGCTGGGTTTTTCCCACCATTAAAAACACCCTGTTTCCTGGCCATACCCAGGCACTGGGTTCCCCCACAGGGGGGATGGGAGTTCTCAGGGTGAACCCACACACACACACACCTGTCAATCTCCCGTTGCAATTGCACAAACAAATAATTTATATTGAATAAAACACATGGAAAGAGTCAGTGAGACTTTTATTGGGGAACCAGCCTGACGAGGCAGGGCCCGACAAAGACTGCTTGGGTCCGCCCCCTGGATCTGACCGCTACCCGCCCCCTCCCTGCCCCACGAATCCGACCCATCCAGCCCGGTATCCACCCGCTCCCTGCCCTCTGGATCCAACACATCCACCCCGGTAAACGCCCCTCCCTGCCCCCCGGAGCCAACCCATCCAGCCTGGTACCACCCGCCCCCTGGAGCCAGCCCATCCAGCCTGCAACCCGCCCCTCCCTGCCCCCCCCCGCCAGAGCTAACACATTCAGCCCTGTACCTGCCCCCTCCCTGCCCCCCAGCATCGACCCATCGAACCCAGTACCTGCCCCCTCCCCGCCCCCCATATCCCACCCAGCCAGGTACCCGCCCCCTCCCTGCCCCCCAAAGCCAACCCAACTAACCCGGTACCCACCCTCTCTCTGCCCGCGGAACCGACACATCCACCCCAGTACCCGCCACTTCCGTGCCCCCCAAGCTGTCCCATCCAGTCTGGTACCACCCGACCCCCAGAGCCAACCCATCCAGGCTGGTACCCGCCCCCTCCCTGTCCCCCACAGTTGACCCATCAAACCCGGTACCTGCCCCCAGGAGCCAACATGTCCAGCCCAGAAACCACCCCCTGGACCTGACCCATCCAACCTGGAATCTGCCCCTCCCTGCCCCCTGGAGCCAACCCATCCAGCCCGGTGCCTGCCCCCATCTCTGTCCCATCCAGCCTGGTACCTGTCACTCTGGTAACAGTCGCCCCCCGGAGCCGACCCATCCAGCCTAGGAGCCGCCCCCTCCCTGGCCGCCCCTACAGTCGACCCATTCACTCCAATACCTGCCCCGTCCCGGTCTCCTGGGTCTGATCCATCCAGCCCAGTACCTGCCCCCTCCCTGCCCCCCCAGAGCCATCCTATCCAGCCCGTTACTCGCACACTCCCTGTCTCTTGGGTCCAACACATCCAGCCTGGTACCTGCCCCCTCCCTGCCCCCCCAGAGCCGACCGATACAGCCCGGTACCCACCCCCTCCCTATGTCCCTCTCTCGCCCAGGTGACCCTGTTTACCTGGTAGAAGACAATGGACAGAGACGGGGCTTGGGGGAGGTGATATCAGATGCCCAGCTGGAAAGCAGGGGGGCTCTGGACTGGAGAGAGAGAGCAGGCAGAGCCCACCTGGATACAGGAGAGACTTAGATGTGCTGTACTGAGGCAGGCCAGGCCTGAGGCCCTGAGAGTTTCCTGTGCTGTGTTCAGACGCTCAATAAACCCTCCTGTTTTTCCCTGGCTGAGAGTCGCTCCAGTCTAGAGAACAGGGTGGCTTTATTCCCTCTGAGAGTGGAGGCCCTGGGGGTCCAGAGCAAGTGGACTCCGAGGGGGCCCACGGCGAGAGACAGGCGTGCTAAGGCTCAGAGAGGTGCAGTTCCAGGAGGCGGAGGGGCTTACCCCCCGAGAGAGAGTGCACCCCCGAGAAGGGCTGTCACACTGAAGAGGGTCCCAAGTTCCCTCGCTGGTCCTCTGTAACAACAAACTCCCTCTCCCACCACCTTGTTAAACCAGTAACACCCAGGGAAACTGAGTCCCAACCCTCTGCATGCAAACCATTGGAAAAAAACAAGAAAAAACCAAGAGAACCTCACACTTTGTCACACCCGCCCCCTCGCTGCACCTCATGTCCGACCCATCCAGCCTTATACCCGCCCCCTCCCAACCTCCTGAAGCCAACCCATTCAGCCCGGTATCCGCCCCCTCCCTGCCCCCCTGAGCCAAACCATCCAGCCTGGTACCCGCCCCCTCCACACTCCTGGGAGCCGACTCATCCAGCCCCTTTCCCGCCCCCTGAACCCAAACCATCCAGCCTTGTACCCGCCCCCTCCCCTGCCCCCCCAGATCTGACCCATCCAGCCCGGTGTCTGCTCCCTCCCTACCCCCCCAGACCCAACCAATCCAGCCCAGTAACTGCCCCCTCCCTATGCCCCAGAGCCACCCATCCTGGCCAGTACCCAGCCCCTCCTGGCCCCCCAAAGCCCACCCATCCAGCCTGGTACCAGCCCCCTCCCCACTCCCTGGAGCCTACTGAACCAGCACAGAACCCGGCCCCATCCAGCCCCCCAGAGCCGATCCAGCCAGCCTGGTACCCACCCACTTAATGCCCCCCAGATCATACCTATCCAGCCCTGTACCCACTCCCTCCCTGTCCCCTAGAGTCAACCCATCCAGCCCTGTACCCACCCACTCCTTGCCCCCTGGAGCCAACACATCCAGCCTGGTACCCGCCCACTCCCTGCCCCCCTGAACCGACCCATCCAGCCCGGTACCTGCCTCCTCAGTGCCCCCCAGAGCCGACCCATCCAGCCCACTACCCGCCCCCTCTCTGC